GAGTGAGAAACGTCCTCTCGATTAGCTTATATGTCTGGTGCATGTGAAGTAACTGACAATAAAGCTGGCTTTGACTTTGAAATGCACCTGACATTGTTTGTTGCCTTATTTTCTCGATGAATTGCCTATGAGTGCCCATTTCTCTGAGGTTGCTATCTTGTCTGTTCTCTCCAATACATCCACAAAATGGTACACAGCAGAGAAAAGCAGCAAATCCTCACATTGGAAAAGCAGGAACTGGAGAATGTTTGACAAATATTGCTTAAATGTAAATAATGACCTACACTTGATCATTTCCCAGAATAATGGCCATTAGCACGAGTTATATGAAACGATTGATTATTGAAAATATCGTGTGAGCTTGGATGCACATTATGTTTATTGCCTACGAGGAATGTGTCCTGGTGCAACCGCTGCATAAAATATACAAATACACAAACACGGAAAGGAAAGTAAACATAATTTCAGAATCCAATAAGTCAAGCCTTTACTTATCACAAAAATAGTTTCCTAAATATGACACGGTTACTTGCTCGTTAGTGTTTCATTAGCATATTAACGTATAATCTTTAATTATAATATTAGCGCTGAGAGAATTAGCACACATACAGAAGTTGTAGTGTTACAAACAACCCCAGTGTGTTGCAGTAACACACACACACTCACACACACTCACACACACACACACACTCACACACTCACACACTCACACACACACACTCACACACACTCTCACACACACACACACTCACACACAGACACACACACACACACAGTCACACACACACAGACACACACAGACACACACAGAGACACACACACACAGAGACACACACACACACACCACACACACAGACACAGACACATACCACGCACACTCACACATACATCCACTCGTGACTAGCACACACGTCACAACACTCACACACTCACACACACACTGTGAGCAGTGTTTCACCTCATCCCTCCTCTCAAACAGCACGTGGGCTCCCGACGCTGACGAGCTGTCAGAACTAAGCGCATGCGCGTTGGGATGATGGGAATTTCCAACAGCTGAGGAGGCGTAGCTAGCCGCTGCTAGCACTTGTTAAAGGTAAGATGTGCGGTCGGTGGTGTTTCTGGGTTAGAAAACGATGCGAGCTCGTAGCTGAAGCAGGTTTACACTTGGTTCCGTTAGGGTCTCGCCACAACGAGGATAAACGTTTAGATAATTGACTCTAAAATCGCCAAAGATGTCTGTGTAAAGATGGACCGCCCTGCTAGCTAAAGCTAACGTTAGCTAGCCAGATGCGCTGAAATGGGCGTTCACTGCTATAGCTTATACTGTGTGTGTGTGTGTGAGAGATTCATGAAGAATTGACATAGAAGCTGTCCTCACTCCGTCTCTCCTTTTATCAACTCTGGTCGTGACCGACTGACTCCGTTGCTGTTGATGCGCAATAGTAATGCATGGTGATGTTGTTAGCTAAGGCACGTTTCTCGCTAGCTCGGTGAACGGGTGCTCGCTGGGGTTGATGTGTGAGTGTGAGTGTGTGTGAGTGTGTGAGGGAACGAGCAGCCGAGCAGCTTGCCTGAGAACTAGGAGCAGAAACCTTCAGGGTTTACGTGTGTCCGGATATCTGTAGGTCTAATATCGCGTCCTTAATTTGAGCTAACTAAAGCTGAGTGCAAGCTACCACGGTGTACACGCCAGCTCGCTCGTTCACTGGCGCAAACACAAGTCAAGAGGAGTATCTCTGTCAACAGTTAAACCTGGTTATGTACAATGTTATCTCCCCCCCTCCCCCCGGTCTATTTCTGCATTACGTACTTCATGTTAATAATCCACCGTTATCTGTAAATATAAACTAGGGATGCATCCTCACTCAGAACTCAGACATTTCTCTCTTTCACACTCTTTCCTATCTGAATCATTTCATTTACAAACTCTTACTGGTGATCAGTACAAATGCATTTTCTTTTGGCTTGAATTGAGACCGACTCAGCCAGTAAAAGAAATGTGGCCCGAGTTTACTTCTCGATCTGTCTCTGTCATAATGAAGATATTTCCATTGTCTAAACCTCTCTGGTGTCATTACAGCTTGGAGGGAGCTCAGAAGAATCACACCATCAGGATGTGTCTGCGAGATGAGTGACCTTGAACTCTGCACATGCCGAAACCAAGGATACAACTCTGCACCAACAGTGTGAAGAAAAAGCTCCTCCTGACCTCAACTCGCACCACACGGGCCTGTTTGTCTGGAAACAAGAACAGGCTCTGAGCCAGTACCAGAGATGCCTGTAAGAAAGCATCCCTACAGGCTGCAGCCTAGCTACGCCAACTGAAAGCACCAGACAACTGCATCTCTTGTTTAAAGGATGTGCTGCTGATTGGACACAAAGTCTCATTCCTCTTCCGCCTCTCCAAAACGCTATTAACGTTGAGTGTGTGCCAGCGCGTACGGTGAATAATGGTGACCAAAAATGGTGCTTGAATGTGGCATCCTGGTGCAGGGTATGCTAAAAGGGGCGAGGCTCTCTCAGAAAAGTATGTAACAGCTGACTGATAGTCCGCTGTAGATAATGGATGCCAAGTTAAAAGAGGACCTGTTTCGGAGGTATGTGACGGCACTGGAGAGGCGTCTGGAGGAGGAATACACATGGATTGGAACTGCACCGGAGGGGGACAAAGGGAGGCACAAGGACAGCGAGGCTCTGCTCTCCACAGCCACAGCTCTGCTAGGGGCCTACCAGCCAGACCCAGGACAGCGTTTCCGGATGGTGCGTTTCTATGAGGTGGTGGAGAATTCTCTCCGCTGTCAGAGAGGGGGCAACCTCAAGAGCCTGGAGAGAGCCTTCCACACGCTGGAAACCATCTGCACCAACCTCCTGCTTTTCCCCTGGAAGAAGGAGTTCAGATGTATAAAGGTGAATTTAGTCTCTTCTAAGGGTTGTCAGGTTATTCTTACTTAAAGCAGCGTTCAAAGCTGACTTAAAGCGGATATTTAGTTATTAAAATGTTGGTTATAGCCATATAAGCCCTCAACCTCCAATATTACTTTCCGCAGTAAGTGTGCATTCAGCATATACATGTTCCAGCCTCTCTATAAGCAGTTAAAAATGATGTCGTAATCAAAATACAGCAACATGCTAAAAAAAAATTTTGTTTATCTAATAACATTTTTAGAAGTTTGTGGTGCTACTTTTAGATTTGAATAAAAAGAGGAACATATGCACAGTCAGAAAGATATGCACAGTTTATTCCGTTGTGAATTCTCACATGGTCCATCAGCTCTTTTCCTTACAGATAGTATATACATTCATATCTTTTACAACCTCCAGGTGGAAACAATGTTTTTTTTTTCCACATCTTAGTGCTCGTGGTAACTGTGCCAGCGGTCACAAAGATTGCAGTGGTCTGACTGATACAGAGACAGTACAGAATCTCCACAGGTTTAATGAGCATGATGTTTAGGCTACAAATGACCTTTTTATTTAAATATAATGTCAGGTCTTTGTCTCCATAGTTTATCAGGCGCCTAACAAGGCTATCCAACATTAGTAACTGACTAAACAATAACATATACATCCTATAATATAGTTAACATAGACTAAACAAATACTCCTTATTATTAATGTCTAATTTAGAATTTAGTTTGTTAGTTTCTTGTGTAACTTTAACATGTGTTGTATGCGGTCGTGCTGCTGTTGTATGTAAACAAAAGGGTAGCCCTCCTACCAAAATTTGAAACACAGGATTTGAACCTGCCATCCCTGCTAAATTGTTTGTCCTGTTGTTAAATACTATCCGTGATGTCAGTAAACACAGTAGCAGAACAAACCTTTACTTTGAATGATATAATATCAGAGGAATCTTTTAATCTAAATGTATGTATAATAATGCTGATTCACCTCTTTCTCTTTCAGACCTTCACTGGTCCATACGTGTACCATCTGCAGTCCGCCATCTCTGATGCTGAACTCCGATCTCTAATGCGCATCATCGGCTACACCTGTGACCATGATTCGCAGTTCCATTTGCAGGAGCACCCAGGAGGCACAAATCATCTCCGCCAGTTGGCGTTTGAGCTCTTCCTGGCCCAGGCAGAGTGTCGTCTTCTGGGAGAGGTAGTGGCTCTGGCCCGTGGTTCAGCCTCAGAGCTGGAGGCCCTGGAGCTCCGCAGAGGGTGCAGAGATGATGCAGCTGGCTGTGCCGAGGCGCTGCGCAGACGCGACAGCCTCGGGGCAGATATGGCTCGGCTGTCTGTGCGGCCGCTGGATATAGAGAGGCCTCATGCCCACCACCTGAGGCGGGGTAGCCGACCGTCTAAGTCTGTGGATGTTACAGATGGGGCTGGTCACTGGCACGCAGCAGTTAGCAAGCCTGTCTTGAAGGCCTCATTGAGTCTGAGGAAGGAGCCTCTGTTTGTGGATGCAGAGGAGGATATGAAGGATGAGATCATCAGGCCCAGCACCTCAGCATCTCTCTTCTCTGTGGCAGCTCCACCTTCTTATAGCCCTATTGCGGATTTCTTCCCAATTCAGTCGCCTCCCCCGGCTGATGCTTACACATCCTACCACTTGTCCTCTTTGGATGAGATTGACTTGTACACAGAGAGGGGTGGCGCCGGGACGGGAGGAAGGCAGACCCCTTCTCGACCTCCATCCAGAGAGCCTCGGGAGTCAAGGGATGGGTGGCTGCTCAAAGGTCATGGTAGTGTGAAGTGTCAGGGCTGTGGGCTCGGCTGCTCCTCTATGGCCTCCTGCCAGAGGTGTGACATGATCCTCTGTTCTGCCTGTCATGATGTGGACCCCTCCCCTTGCTGCGGCCTCCAGGACTACCACCCCAAATCACCACGACCCCTCGATGGATACATTCCTGTCAAGGAAAAGCTCTCTGTCTACTCTAATACTCACTCCCACTCCCATCTCCATCCGCACCCCCTCACACTGACCCACTCACACTCTCACCCCCACCCTCACCCCCAGATGGTGGAGAAACCCCTCATGTCCACTAAGCTGTTTCCAAGCAAGTCTGTTGCCTTGACAACACCAAAGGGAGGCAGCAGCGAGCGATTAAGCATGGGGGGATCGCGATGCGGGTTTTGCAACAAGCCAGGTGCATCTCACACCTGTGTGAACTGCTCTAAGGTGTCATGTGACTCGTGCATGGGCTTGTATGCAAAGGATATATGCACACGAAAGAATCCCCAGCACAGCTTTGTGCCCAACCATCAGCTCAACTTCAAATCCGGCACCATATCTCACCTGGTGTACCGATGAATCAGGCAGACAGAATATTTGTTTCTCCTTCTAGTTCCCTCCCTTAACCCGCTGTGTAGTCTTGCACTATTGCTTTAGCTCTGTTCCCGTTTAAACAACTCAGTCACTATCTTCCCCTTTATCTGATGGTCTTATCGCTCTCTCTAACCCTCTTTTGAACTTTGTACATTTTCTCTTACTGTCAGTAGGGCCCTGGAATGCACATTGCCACAGAGAGCCATATCGTCTGCCCATCTCTCTGCCTTGTACAAGTTCAGGCCTTTTATCTATTTCTTCTTCCTTTTACCTTGCTACCTGCTCTTGAATAGTCATGTGATGTTGTAGCGCTTCCCAAATTCCTCAAATTTTGTCCTCTTCAAAAGGGAAACTGGAGAAAAGAGTTTAATTCCTTCTCATTTTGAATGAATTCTGTCCAAATGAACATATATACTTTGCCTAACTTCTCAGCTAAAAATTCCTATAATATATAAAATATATATATACAGTAT